GGTAATTGTGTTAAGTATTATTTAAGTTCTTTGTGTTATTTTTCAGTTGAAGGATGTAAAAGCCTCTGAAATAATGGATGTTTATGAGCACAAGCTAGCATCATTGTCTGTAAGTATTCAGTATTGACAGGACATATTATGGATTGGGTTTCATTTCTTTGCCTGTCTGTTGCATTTTCTCAGAATGTCATGGTCCATTTTTTCCCAGACACAATGGTATCATTAAGTACTAGATTTTTTTTTGGACCTGATTAAAAATTACTAAAATGGCCGACTGTCTGCCATATTTGATCCAGAAAAAAAAATGCTGTACCTTTATTTTAAACTTGTAGAGCATTGTCTTCAAATTCTGTTCAAACTTTCACCTGCATTATTTTTTCAAAATTTTGTTGAAATTGGCCAATGGTTTGTTTTCCACAATAGAAGCACCATCCCTAATAGAAGTCATACGCATTCTTTTTAACAAATTTAAGAATCAAAAATTCACCATTTTTCATATGCATATATGTTTTTGTAGAAGCTGCATTATACAAATTTGTTGTGCTTTTCTAATACAGATTTTACAGTAATAACCTGCTTTACTTACTGTTTAATGAATTGTTCACATAAGTACTTCTCCACCAGCAATGTCTATGTTTCTTAATCTCAGCAAAAATCTGTACATGCAAGACTAACAGGAAAAAATAGCTAATATTATTTATTAATTTACAGAAACAAGATGGTCCCGTTCAAGATTTATTAGAAGCTAAGGCAATGGCATTAGCCCAGGCAGATAGATTGATATCACAGAATTTATGTAAAATTGCAAATTTAGAGGCAGAGGTAAGATAGAAACCCAAATATTTTATGTACATTTTAATTTAGATGATAATGTATTGTTTTGTGATAAAATAATTTTTTTCTTATTATATAGTTACTCTTACTTAATAGTTTGCGAGAACCACTCTGTCCCATGTTGTTGTAAACAAGGATAGAATATAGCGTGTATGTTGTGTGTATGTCTGAGAGTACACAAGTTATCCATACTTTTATTGTATTTTGTTATTTACTGCCATTTTGGTGATATTGTTTTCTATATGTAACCCCCCCCCCCCCAATCAGCATGTACAAGAAATTATCATTTATATGCTTGTAAATATAATTTATAAAACTATTAAGTTAGAATACTCCAAAGTGACTTATTGTCTAAAAAAACTTTGCTGTGTTTACTCAGGCACGTAAGCTACGATCGCTTCTCCAAGACGTTGAAAAACAGAACGAAGAATACTGCGATAAAGTTAACGACATGCAACTTAAAAGCGACCGTTCAACAAAAGAGATGGAACAACTTATTATGCAGAATCAGCATTTACAAGTGATTGCTAAAGAATATGAACAGTTGACTGTACAACATAAAGACCTAACACAAAGGTTAGCTTTCATCACAGTGTATTATTAACCTTTTCATCACCAGACAAATGTTTCTGCACTTTTTTTCTTAAATCCTTATAAATATTTCTGGAAATGAATCCTAATTTTGAAGCCAACAGACAAAATTTTAGTAAATTTCCAGTTTTTACTCAAAAAATTTGGCTATTTTTATCCCAATATTTAGAAAAAATGTGTAGACTATAAACAGGACTATTTTGTGAATTTGTAATGAAAAGAAGGAACTGGTGGCGAAAAGGCTAATATAACCACAAACTGCTTATATTTTGTTCGTGACAATTTGTAGTTTCCAATAAGAAGTCTTATGGGTGTGCATTGCTCGATATGGCTACCACAATGTTCTTGTAGTACAGCAGAGCTATTTTGACCATCACTTGTTTCTATGAACACTTGAAACAACTAAGATATATCTTGTTATTACAGATTTACCACAACAAATCGTAATTTAAAAACTAAAGAAGAGGACTATGTCAAACTACAGGAATTATATGACATGTTACAGAGACACAATGAAAAACTAGGAAGTCAGCACGAAGTGTAAGTTAATTTAACCATTGCCTTTTTTTCACAAGGTTTATACCATATGTATGTGTATGTATGTATATACCGGTACAAGGGAACTTTTCATAATCAGTTGTTACTGTAATCAGTTATTGCTGTCACAATTGTTGCTGTAAATGTACCATATTAGCCTTGATAGAAGTAATAGAACTTATGAACAGTCTCACATTGTCATGGTAGCTTGGAAAACCTATTTCTTGTTTAAGTCCTGACTCTTCCTCCAAGCATCCACAGTGTGTATACTGCTGCCATTGGTGGTTGTGTGTTGGGGGTCACGTATTTGACACATGGCCTGGTAGATTTTGCTCCATTGTTGATTTTAACAGAAAGACCCAGAATTCAATATTTATGCAAATTTACAATATTACCGTACTCGACCGCGTTTCTATTTAACCTCTTGATCTCATCAGCAGTATAAAGTAAAATATATTTTCGTATTCAAAATAAAATGTTGAATTCAACCAAGTATGAACAAGGAAATTTCAGTCATGATTATATGCAAGCCCTATTAATGCAGTAGTATTCCTATTATAATTTTCAAAGTTAATTTTCGATCATGTAAAATACTTTCTGAAGATATTTGTTAAGGTGACTGAACACTACAGACTCGGTCTTTCTAACGTGAACGTGAGCATAACAAAGCAGTTTTCATCTTTCTCATCATTTTCGATCGAGTATGAACAAACACTTTTAATTTGTAGCAGTGGAGTGCGCATATGTGGTCATTTCATTTTGCAAATTTGAACAGTGCCTGATAACAAACTCAAAAAGTGATAGTTTAGCTGAACTTGAAATTGTCTTTTGAAAAAGATGATAATGATTATAATAGGTTATTAACAAAATACCTGAATTTATGTCCTTGTACATCGTACGATTTGGCATTGTTCTTGACGATACGGATCTCAGACAATATGTTTGCTGTATGATGTACCTGAAAATAATTACCATTATTATACATCTGTCACCGTAATGCCGTAAGTTACAGCATGCTGTAATTGTGCGGTATTTTAAGGCGTATTTTCATCTTACCACATTAGGAAATGCGAATTCCAAATATGGAATGATTACATGCATAAGCGTCCTCTAATAATAAAAACATGGCTGCCGCCAGGGTTTGATCGAACTCCACACAAAAAGTTTGCTGATTCTATTCTAAACATTTGGGATTTCGACATTCCCATGATGTATCCTTGGAAGGAAAAGATGTATAATAATAAGGTTATTACGAAGATACCTCAAAGTATGCACTCGGACAGTACGCTACCGCATCAACTTCTGCTGCAAGTTGGTGAGTACTCCCACTGTACTGTCTTTGTGCATACATATAGGTATCCTCATAATAACCTCATAGTATTTTGTTGATAATCTTATGTTCTGCAGTTTCACTGGTAGCTTATGTGGGTTGATGGCTTGTCATCTTAAAGCAGTAATCACTCTGCTGACTTCATAATAATTATCATTCTATTCTGTCACCAGGGCAACTGAAAGGTTAGCTAAACTAGAGGAAGAGCGGAAAAGTCTTACCAAGCTGCTAAAAGACAAAGAAAAGAAATGCTGTGAGCAGAAAGATCTTTTGAGCAAGCAGGATAAAGAAGGAAAGAAATTGAAACGCGAGTTGGAGAACGCTGATGCCACAATTGAACAGCTGAGAGAAGACTTGAATCAGAATGAAAAAGAATTCAGAAAGCAGGTAAGTTATCAGGTGACACTGAAGAATAATACATATTTGAAGGGTTTAATTTTAAAAAGCAGATATTCACTAGGTTTATACAATGACTCATGTTTTAATACTAAATTATAAAACTAAAAGTTATACAATGTATTAGCAGAAAAGTGAATAAATTATGCAAATTATCGTACTTCCCCGAGTATAAGCCCAGGGGCCTGAACATGTAAAATCGGGAAAAATAAGGGGTGGGCTTATACTCGAGGACCACCTCAGAAAAAAATAATTTTTTGGTGCATTTAAAACTGTAACCATCTTCCCAACCTCGAAGTATTATTCAAATTACAGTTTTCATTCACAGCGCCGGTCTCGAGGGGGGGGGGATATTACGTCCTTTTGAGGAAAAAATGCAAAACGAGTCGTCATTTGATTTCAACAACACTTTTTACAATGAAGAAACAAACATGTTCATAAAAATACAAACATTTTATTACAATACGGTTTACATATCGTCCGAATTTACGATGTAAAAATGGGTAGGGTCTGTGGGAAAACGGCCAAAGGCAAGATTGTACACAAACTCTCGATACAAAGCTACGCCATGGTTTCATCATAATTTGACCTGAACAACTTCCTGTGACCTAACAGGTCACATCTTTCGTTAACCAATGAAAATGCTGTGTCGTACAATCAAAGTTTTTGATTATTGATGAAGTATTTTTTTCAACGCAATGCGGAAGTGAATTACCGCATTGTTAAAACGCGATCTGACACTGATTTTGAAAAAAAACGTTGATTTTTTCCCCCTAAAAGCTGTTGATTCACAATTTTCGAAAGGTGAACAGAAGGTGAGGGAAGTATTCAAACCTTTCACGGCCGCCAACAAGTCATGTAGAAGATTAGTTTGCTCGTTCACACCCCATTCACGATAGATTCAAGCATATTCAGAAAAGTAAAACGATGATCAGTAACAAGGTTTCACGACTTGACGATCACATTTTTGCCGTTTGGAAAACTACTACTCAAAAGAAATATGGATTATTTCAGTATTGCAACATCGGGGTTCATCCCGAGTAAATAACAGAATAGAAAATGTGTGAACTACTAGTATGTTCCGTCACGTACGTTTGCCCGCCGTGCAGTCTGAAATGTTTGGAGTTTTCTTGTAGAGCTGGAACCAAACTACCGTACCAATTATGATTTTTATGCAATGAAATACACTTTTTACATGCATATTTTAATAAATGTCGCCAACGCCCGGTGAAAACACCCTGGGCCTGGGATGCACTCAACTCGTTAGATGTCCAAAAACCAGGGATGGGCTTATACTCGGGAGGGGCTTATACTCGGGGAAGTACGGTATATTGCAAAATAGCAACCACCCTTAGCCAAAAACCTGGGGAAAATAGTGTGACCTTTGAGCTTAAAAAACATGGAAAATTACAAATCAGTGATCACTATCAATGGTTCTTATATTTTGTTAAATTCCTTAGACTGCAGCATTGGAGAAACAAAACAGGGAGAAAGATGACATGTTATCAAAGATGAAGAGTGAAATGGAAAAACAGTCACAGATAGCAAAAATGATTCATAATCTGACAAGTGGAAAACAGTAGTGCTAAATCTGTAGTGGATGTACTATTTTGATATACAGTACAACATGATGACCACCATAATGTGATAGTATGGCACCAGAAAGACAAATTTTTCAGTCGTCATTGTGTCAATAAAAAGAAAGCTTGATCAATACACTTTCATCAAAGCTTTAAGAATTTTCTGA